CCCCCCCCCCCCCCCCCTCACTGAAATTGGCTGTCTGCATCCTCACTTCTAGACAGGACAGAAGAAGAAAGTAAGTACTGTGACATTTTATGACCCCTTCTAGGCCTTGAAACTATGGTTGGGTTGGTTTTTGGTTTGTTTTGATTTTTATGTTTTTGCATTGCTGGACGTTGAACTCAGAGCCTTGTGTATGATAGAAAAAGGATCTACCACTGGGCCACACCCCCAGCCCCTCCCTGAGGGAGTCTAGGCAGGGGCTCTACCACTGAGCCACACCCCAGCCCCTCCCTGGGAGAATTCTAGGCAGGGGCTCTATCACTGAGCCACACCCCAGGCCCTTCACTGGGGTAATCCTGGGCAAGTACTCTACCACTGAGTCATACCCTCAGTGACTCACTTGTGGATTTTTGGTAGATGCTACCACTGAGTCACACCCCAGTTCTTCACAGGCAGATTCTAGGAAGCACTTTACAATGAAACTATATCCTTGGTCCTCTTTCTTACTTTTTATTTTGAGACAGAATCTCACTAAATTGCCCAGGCTGGCCTTTAACTTGAGATCCTTCTGCCTCAGCCTCTCAGCTGACTGGGATTACAGGCCTGTACCAGCAGTCCTGGTTCAAATAAACTCTTAAAAATTGAATTCTGGTGGCACACGCCTATAATCCTAGCACTTAGAAGACAGAGACGGGAGGATCTTGGCAAGTTTGAGGCTGACCTCGGCTACATAGTAAGGCTTTGACTCAAAAAAATAAATAAATATTTGGAGCTGGAGAGATGGTGACTGCTCTTGCAGAGGACCCGGGTTCCATTCCCAGCACCCACATGGTGGCTACAAACCGTCCTTAACTCCAGTTCCAGGGGAATCCGAATATAAAAAAGCTTATTTGAAAGAGAAGATCTTTTAAGTTCTTTTATTTTTGAAAAGTAGCATTTTACTTTCAATTTGTATTTGCTGAAGGGAAAATTGTTAAATTATTAGCTTCAACACACACACACACACACACACACACACACACACACACACACACTTTTAATCTTAGCACTTGGAAAGTAAAGGCAGGCAGCTCTCTGTGAGATCAAGGCCAGTCTGGTCTACAAAGTGACTTTCAGGCCAGCTGTGGCTACAAGGAGACCCTGTCTCAAAAGACCAATAATAATAATAATAATAATAATAATAATAATAATAATAAACATTTTCATTCTTGTTCAGGGCACATTTTAGACAGTACAGGTTACAGACTCACCAAAGGAAAGGTAAATAGTGCAGATGAGCCTGTGTCCCTTTCCACATATCCTATAGATAGCATCTTATGGATGCTAATAGTATCTGATTGATACTATTAACTGGACTAGATACCTTCCTGTGATTTCAGTAGAATTTGCATGCACTCATATTATTTTGATACCATCACAAGGTGATTATATTAGAGTAACAAAGACAGAACTAGGTACGGTGGTGGGAGCCTTTAATCCCAGATACTCAAGGCAATGAGGCAAGAGGATCAAAAGTTCAAGTCTTGCTTGAGTTACAGGGTGAGTTAGCTCATGGCCAGTTGGGCAGCTCAATGAGTGCTTGTCTAAGAATGAAAAGTAAAAAGAGATTCTGGGAGTGTTGCTCAGTGGTAGAGCACCTGCCTTGAATCTACCAATTAGGAACTGGGCTCAGTGAGCACTGGATTCAGTGGCAGAGTGCTTTCCTGACATGCACAAGGCCCTAGACTCCTCAGTACCACACAAAAAAAGTTTACTGGAGCCAGTAATTCATAAATCGGGCAGGCAAGAGCCAGAAGTGGTTTTGGGTGCTCTACCCAGAGAACAAAAGGGGAGGAAAGCCAAGGGTGACAGGTCGTTAGTGATTCTGCTGACTGGTCCAGCCCACTGAATAGTCTTTGGTGGTACCTTGGTGTTTTTATTGATGGCTTCTGATTGGTTGAGCCAAATCCTGTTTTTCTTTAATCCAGCTGAATTTCCCCTTTTCTGACAAGCCTGGAGCTGGAAATGATTCAGATTTCCTACTTTGCAGACTTGGAAATATTTGCATAAACTTTATCCCCAAATATGATCTGCTCCACCATCCAAGTCAGTTTGAATATGGGTGTAGTGGTTCAATCCCAGCACTTGGGAGCCTAAGGCAGGAGAATTTGAGTTTGAGCTACATAGTGAGTTCTGGGCTACCCTGGGCTACAGAGTGAGAAAACCTTACTTCAAAAAAGAAAAGAGAAAAAAGCAGTGTTTTTGCTTGCCCCTGGAGCACTCTGGACATCGGAGTTTTGGATTAGGGATGTTTGCAAAGGCTGTGGAGATGTTTGCAGGAAAAAGCTCAAGTAAGACTTTGCTCATGTTCACAAACAAGACAAGGCAGCGCCATGAAGGGCAGATGGCTTTGGGCACTCTGGGATTCTGCAGAACCCAGTAACAAGTGACCAGTGCATTAAAAAACATTTGATGACTGTATCCAGCACAGAAGGCACTAATGACTCTGTTTGCTTGCTTTTTCTCACACTTGTTCCTTTGTCCTTGCCTCTATGCCATCCTCCAGTGAAAAGTAAGTTATTTTTCTTTGTTTTGTTATTTGTTCTGTTTTCTTGTTTGGACAAAGTGTCTCCTATAGCCCAGGCTATTCTTGAAATCAAATTCCATAATACAACCAAGGGTGACCTTGAACTCTTGATCTTCCTGTCTGGGTCTCCTGAGCAACACTATGTTTGGCAAAAAAAAAAAAAAAAAAAAAAAAACATTGTTTTTTCTTTCTTGTGGGTAGCTTGGGATATTTCCCAGTGCTGGGAGGAAAAACAAAAAAGACAGGAGCCTGGCATGGAGGTGCATGCCTGTAATCTTAGCATTCATGAGGCTCAGGAAGTCAAGAGCAGCCTCACTTACATACGTAGTTTGAGGTTAGCCTGAGATACATGATCTAGAGAGGGCTTAACGGTTCAGAGCACATACTGTTCTTCCAGAGGACCTAAACTCAGTTCCCAACACCCATGTTGGGTAGCTCACAACCACCTGTAACTCCAGTTCCAGAGGGATCTGATACCTGTAGTGTCCACATGCATCTGCACCCACACATACCCCCACACAGGCAGACAAACACATAATTAAAAATTAAAAATAAAATCTTTTTTAAAATAGGAAGAAAGGAAGGAGGAAAGGAGGGGAGAGGTGATGAGGGGGAAGAGAAGGAGGGAAAGGAATGGAGGGGAGGGGAGGGAGGACCTTGGCATATACTGCTCCATTTGTGCAGGAAGCTCAGGGTGGATTTCAAGTTCTATGCACCTCCTGGGGCTGTACAGAAAGTCCTAAGGAGCTTCATGTAGGTCTTTGGGACCCCTAGTGTCCAACGTCCCAGAATTTGAGCAGATTCTCAAACCTCCCCATTGCTCTTGAATGTGGGACAGCAAGTAATGTGTACTTCTAGGGGAGGGGTGGTTATTTGGTTAAAAAAAAAAAACAAAACAGAACAGGAATTGTGCGTTCCTTCCTGACCCTGGGAAGGGCAAGTGTAGGGATGCTCTTTTGATAACCCCTAAACCTCTGGAGGATGAATTCCCCAGGAGAAATGGGCTCCACTGGGAGTCCAGTGTCACAGACATCTAGAGTCTCTGACCCCAGTCCCAGCCCTACCATTTACCCTGGAAGACCTTTCCATGCCCCTGTGGGGGAAGAGGCTCTGCCGAAGATGCCCCCGGTGGGATGGGAGGAGGCAGGCATTGTTAATGCCCTTTTCTCTGTTCTTCACTGCCATGGGTTTTCAACCACTCCGTCGGGATTCCCTCACCTCCGTGCTCCTGTTGCAACAGTATTGAAAAGTAAGTTCATATTTTCCTTCCTCCCCTTCTGGTTCCATCTGGTTTCCTTTGTTATTCCTGCCAAGAGACCTTAGTACAGAGACTGGAGGCAAAAAAACACTTCCATCTTCAAGAAGGCCGGTACTGGGGTGGTCAGATGACTCATCGGGTAAAAGTGTTCGCCACGAAGCCTGATGACCTGAGTTTGATCTCCATCATCCCCACGGTGGAAGGACCCAACAATTGTTCTCTGGGCTCCACACTCATGCTGTGGCACACCGTACACACACACACATACACACACACACACACACACACTCACACAAATAAATAAAATTAATTAAAAATTAAAAGTGGAGGCTGGAGAGTTGGCTCAGCAGTTAAGAGCACTTGCTACTCCTCAAGAGGACTGGAATTCAGAGCCTAGCAACCATGTTGGGTGACTCAAAACTGCCTGTAATACCAGCTCTTAGGAAATCTAATGCCCTCTTCTGGCCTCCACAGGCACCTGCATTCACATGGCCATGCAGGCATGCACACAGGTAGCACAGAGAGAGAGAGACACAGAGAGAGACAGAGACAGAGACACAGAGACAGAGACAGAGACAGACACACACACAAAAAAAACAAAAATAAACTTTTTCTTTTTTTTTGAGACAGGGTCTCCCTGTAGTCTCAGCTGGCCTGGAACTCAATATGTAGACCAGACTGGCTTTGATCTTTGTGATCCCAGTCTCTCAAGTGCTGGGATTAAAGGAGTCCACCACCATGCCTGACAAAATAAATCTTTAAAAAAAAAGGACCACCTCTTCTTATGCCCTCTGCTCATTATCAACTCCAGATTCTCCCTTGACACCCCGTCCTCTAAGGCTCTGCTCTGAGGCCTGACTACTCACCCTCTGCTCTGGGCTTTTAGTCCACTGGCCTGTCTCCCACATCTAATGTAATTTATTTTTCCCTCCTGTGGTCTCCTCTCTCTGGACCCATCACTGTCTCCATCTCACCTCCTGGGCACTTTTCACCTTGATAGACCACAGAGATCCTTGGTAAGTACCTGGTTCTGTCCTGGCCTGTGTACCAGGCATGTTTCTAACACCTTGTCTGCCAGGGAATGTGGGTTGTGGGAATCTGAAAGGTGGCAGTAATGTGCTCAGGCCTCTTAAAACTCACAGTCTGAGGGGGGAAGCAGATGCCTATCAGTCATTATAATATAGGAGTGTCCTGAGGAGGAACAGAACAGTAAGGACAGACCAAGAAGAAAAGGGCCAGGGGGCCTGTG